GCACTCTGCTCCCTCGCCTCTTTGGGGTTCAGGGTAGCACAGGCTGGGAGCCTGCTGTGTTTTCATCATAAAGTGGAATTTTTTCATTTTTCGCTGCTTGTGTTGACTCTTTCCCCCTGTTTTATCCTTTCAAGACTATCACAGAAAAATACAGTATTCAACACGAATCCTCCAGAGGGCTTCTTGGCTGTGGTTTTAATATGTATTATTCTGTACTCCATTTGTCTTCCTCTCTTTACCTTTAGACGCCTCAGACTGCATCCTGACAATCCCTGCTACAACCTCAAAACATCTGCGCTTTGTGTTTTGCTGTTTCCGGCCGTGTATTTATGACTTGTCCTCAGTATTGGGAAAGCCTTAATTATCAGCAGCAAACTGAATTGTTCTACTCTTCTCTGAATGGTTCTTCTATTATTTTATCTTTATCACATATTGACAAATTACCATTGTATATATTTATGGGATGCAAAAGGTGCTGTGATATATGCGTATGATGCAGACTGATCACATCATGCTAACATAGTCTTTCCCTCAAACTGCTTACCTATTCCCTCTTCTAACTGAAACATTATACCACTTGACCAACATTTCCCCATTCTCCCAGGCTCCAGAATGGTCCTAACTTTATCACCAAACCACATTGGCAGGAATTTTTCAGGACTATCCCACCCAACCTGAAATAATCTGCTCCTTAGTGCAGTGGTTCCAAAATTCAATTTGAAAAATTCAGTCAAAGTAAACTTAAACTAGCTTGTTTTAAGTAATCATGGTATCAACATGTTTGTACCATGTACACTTGTAAAGTCATCAACACTAGAAGATACCTATTTCAGTTGGAAAGTGTGTATTTATTTTCTGTAGATGAAAAAGAGATCTTACTTGCTACATCACAAAGGAGACACTGACTTGTTTGGAACTTGATAGTAGCTGTGCCCACACCCCACCCCAACTAACATCATAACAGTAAAGGAACTAGAAAGTGAACTAGCAAGCTCCATCTCCACATACACACACAAATACACATGGGTGCACACACATACAAACACACACACAGGTGCACACCTGTCTCCTATCCATCCTCAAACTGATACACAGAGGAACCTCAGCCAGGACAACAAGACCTCTCGAAGAGAGATCCTTTGCAAGAGGATCTGTTTTCAAAAGTCCCAGGTTTATATTTTGCTGGTTCAATTACTCCTGGAAATGACTGTCTTCAGGGAACACCCAGGGGACTGGCAATTTGTTATCAGTATTTTGTCAGCTTCTCTTACATGAACAAAAATGAGATTATGTCTGCTTACTATTAAGAAGAATGTTGGTCAAAATGAAAAGCATCAGGTTACTCAACAATTTCTTAATAGGAAATCAAATAATTTCTTCGCAAGTGTTGCTCTTAGGGATGCTTGGGCTGCATCATTTGTTAAGATGGCACCACAAAGAGCCTTAGGAAGAAAATTAGCTAGACACTGTGATGGATGTATGTACCACCCGTTACTCAGGAGGCTGAGGCAGGGCGTGGACAACATGTTCAACCCAGCCTGTACAGCTTAGTAAAAACTGTCTCAAAATATAAAAGTGCTAAGATGTAGCTCAGCTTCCCTGGTTCAATTCCTAGTATCATGGAAAGAAGAAAGAGAAAGAGAAAAAGACAGAGATGGAGGACCAGGAGGGAAGTAAAGGAAAGAAGAGGAACAGAAGAGGAGGAGGAAGAGGAAAAGAAGAGAGAACAGTGAACTGGAAATAGGCAGCAGCCCAGGGGAGAGGTGCTAAAGGGACATAACATTAACCGACAGGCATGGTGCTGTATACAGCACACACATTCTCTTTCAAATCTTCACTGCAGCCCTGTGAGACAGGTCATGCCATCAGACATACTGCCCAGATGAGGAAGCTGAGGCACTATGAAGCTGATATTCTAGCCAGGAAGCAGCGGAGCTAGTACTTGAACCCACAGGCTCTTACTCTGGCACCCCGGATTTTTAGCACTTTGTTGACCTGCTTAGTGAGAGCTCAGCACTGTCCAATGAGCAGGTTCCAATACTCCTGGATACTAAACTCTTATAGTTAAGCACTCTTTGTTTGTGTACCTACCAAACAGCTCTCCCATATAATTTCACCTCCTTTGCTGTCATGAAAACAGGGCGGGTTTTGCGAGTCCTATGAGAGTTATTTCCGTAAAGTGATAAATTGTCAGTGTCCTCCCCACCTCAGTCTCCTGAGCACTGAATTACGAGAGCCATCCCCCCTGGACCTGAGCACTCCCCAAACTTCCAAACGGGAACAGGTCCTGGGACGCCTCAGGTCCACACCGCCTGCTCTGTGCAGCTGTCACCTGCTCCAGTCTCCCATTTCTGCTCTTTCCCCACAGAAACCACAGCTCTCTTTCACTCCTCGGCCACGACAAGGCAGCAAAGGCAAAAGGTTGTTAACACTTTGGTAACCTCACCGTCCATCATTTTGAGGCTACGCTACTCTTTCCTCTCCTTTCCACATACAAATGTTTCTTTAAAAGCAAATGACATCCAGATTGGGGGTTTAGCTCAGCAGCACAAGCACCTGCCTGGCAAGTACGAGGTCATGAGTTTGATCCTCAGTACCAAAATATAAAAGTATTTTTAAAGAGTGTAGTTGTTCTCTTTCATTAAAAAGAAAATGATTTCCCATGATCAGTGCTCCTTGGAACCACTGACTCCTAAAGGCTAATCAAAACATATGACACATGTTTACAAAATTATTACAGTGAAAGACACATTGTCATCAATCCTTCTCAGAGTGCTCCTCTTATCCCCTCATTCTGTCCCTTTCTGAAGCAATTCTGAAAATGCTCTTTTGTGAGTATCTTTGTGAGGTGAACATCGCTGCTGAATGTCATCCAGTAGGAAGGCAGGTATATAAAAGGAGTACAGTGTGTCAACATCCACTTTATTCACTGGTTCTGCCACAGTACAACGTCTAGCTCCTCCAAAAGTAAAAATGACTATGGAAGGCAAATGTCTGGAATCAACTCGGGACACTAAGACAGCCACAACATTACAGCTAGAGGCACTCATGAAACAGGACGCCCAGAACTGCGTCAGATAGCGGCAACAGTGGGAAAAGTGTGTTCAAAGTGGAGGGGAGTATTTGGAGGAGGATTATAAGCAATGTGTCTTTTACCATAGTTGTTTGGTTTTAATATCCACCATGCTTTTAACATACTACTGCATATGAATCACCACTATATCAGCTTGTCTTTGTCCAGTGTTTGGAGTCCATTGAGAAGAAACAAGTAACAGCTTAACTATCCTTTAGTCATTATGCCAACAAAATATTATGTCAAAAATTATATATATATAATACACACACCTATATATATATACATATACATATATACAGTAATAACTTGGTTCACAGGTGCTTATGCTCACAAACAATTCATTTCTCAAATAAATGAATTAAAATTTTGTTTCCACTCACAAACTCCATATCAGGTGATACACACAACACTGGCCATCTTCCCCAAACACAAATGCAGCTGTCTTCCCCAGAATTGTAAAATAAATTAATTTCATGAACCAAGGTACAAATATAGACAGATAGATAATCTACTATAAAATATATTTTAATCTATTTTACCTAAGGGTACTATACTATAAAGTACATTTTTATCTATTTTACCTAAGGGAGAAGGCTCTGTCTGTCTGAGCCCTGTCTTTCCCCAAAGGACTGCCCCACCCACAGCCCTTCTAAGGACCTGGCCATGCAGGCATGACCTGACTCCACAGGGAGAGCTTGTGAACCAGAGGGAACCAATCTTAAAGCTCACAGCCACTTACCTGGGTCTGACATGGAAAGTGAGCCCAGTCCACTGGGGTCCTGCCTTGGCAATTTGCCTAAGAAACTCTCAGAAAAGAGACCAGTGAATAATGGTCCTGACGACAAAGGGGCACACGAGATTGGCTTGGGCCAGGGCAAACCACATGCACACTGACATTGTGAGGAGTAGAAAGTCCCCACAGAGGAGGAAAGACCCTGCTGGAAACAGTGGATACGTGGGGAAAAGCATGTGCCAAGCAGACTTGGTTTCCGTGAAAACGGTTTTTATAAATACGGCAGAGAAACAATGAAGGATGCCTGGGGCTGGAGAGGTAGAGAAGACAACCAATCAAGGGAAGGTACAAATGAGCAGATGCCAGTACTGATTCCTCCGTCCTAACACACTGCTCTAAATTCTCACCAACAATTGCCTCTCAGGACAGTCAAATGTGTCCTCCAGCCACAACTACAGAAGGGTGGACTCTGCCTCTACCAGACATGGGTTTATACTTTGTTCTGAGGACCAGCTTCATACAACTGACCGTATACCAGAAGAGGGAAAGAGAGGACCCCTCTAGTATGGGAGAGAGTAAAATAAAAGGAACCTAACATCCACTCCATTTGTCTGGACAGAGCCCCAGTCAACGCTACACTATTACCAGACGCAGCTAATTATCATGTACTGTGGACAGTGAAGTTCTTCACTTTCATCCCAACTGTGATCTTGGACTGAGTGAAACTTTCCCTTGCCCCTCTAATTTACGAGGAATTCCCCTTTCTGGGTAAAGCAAACACATTTCCTTTCCACTGTGGCTGCTTAAATGACTCCTTCCCCCATTCTTGTTGCATCATCCGCTCTCATTGCAGAAACTGGACACCAAAAAGTCAGTCAAAAGTAAAATTAAAGCCCAGTTCCCGAGCCTTACTGAGTATACAGAAATAACTTCTCGCCTTAACGGAGCTGCGAACACGGTGGTATAAATGTGGCACTTGGCAGGTGGCCCATGGGTCTCATTATTTTACAATTATACCCAGATGTCAAATATCAGGGCTGGCATTTAAAACCTATGGAGTTGGTGAGTGTTCAAAATGGTTCATGTCTGCCTTCTGCAAAAATTTAAGTGAAAAGACAACAGGTGTGTTTAACACAGTGCGTGCTTTTCGTAACTAGCCCATGACAAGAAAGAATTACAGCGGGTACTTACTATTTATAACTCATAGCCACATCCACAAAATACTTCCTCCTCTGTCGATAGACATTGTCCTTAAATCCCTTAAACAAAAAAGAGATTAAGTTATTTAACAAAGTGACAAAAAATTAGCTGCAGAATGCCCAAAGGAAAATCACTGTGGTGTTTATTGAATGTTCAATTCAAATGCAAATCGTATCCGCAGATGACCCCCTTGATGACACAAGCAAAAGCAAATTGTGCTTACAGTGAAACCTCATTCAATTCGGGCTCTACTAATTTGGGATGTGTGGGAATTCAAGCAAGTTTACCTTTGCACTAAGTAAGCAGAATGGCTTAGTGAAACAAATTGATATTTTGCACAGTATCTTTTGGTTTTCAAGTATCGTTTACATATAATTGATCTTAATTACAAGCCAGTCTCATCCTATTTATTAAAATCAGTCTCTTTAATAGGATTATTCAATCAGTTCACTTAATTCTAATTGCTCTGTGTAAATAATTAACGAATATAACATTTACTAAAACCTCTGTCAGTCAGAATCATCATCAGATCCCCAAATTGGTATGAATTAAAGAGATTTTGCTGTCATTTATGACTGCAGCCATCTAATATAAAATCAGTAAGGGATTCATGCAAGGGCAGCAGGTTACTTCTATCTCGTTCTGAGTTACTATCATTCTAACACATCTCCGCCAACTTAGTTAAGATTTTTATCTAGCATTGTCTGCTTGGGGAATTAAACACTGTAACTGTCATTTTTCAGTCAAATGGAACACTACTGTGAGGACTTCCTGGTTTACTCAGCAATTTGTTCTCTTGCCAATAGACTTCTCCTTTTCCTCTTCTCCCTGTATTTTCAATTAATTCTTTCTGGGGTTTTTGCTGCTGGGCACTCAGAAGAAAGGGTTTCCACTTAACTTCTTAGCTCCACAACCCCACAATCCCCACAGACAACTGGGAAGCAGTGGCCTTCGTTCACAGAGGCCAGGCCAGAAAACAAGCCACAGGAATAAAAGAACAAGGACAAGGCCTACGCTACCTCTGTGACCACAGACACTTCTACGAGGTTGACTGGTGAAGAGGAACCCCTAAAACACTAGAAAATCACCCTGTTCTCTTATCTTGCTAACAGAAAACAGGCCTTAGAGACCAGGAATCTTCAAAGGGCTCCGCTACACAGAAATGGAGAATGATCTTCCTTTTAGAATAACAAGAGAGTTATTAATGGAGGGGAGAAGGAATAAATGTCATGAGATCACAGTTAATGCCCAGTAGAAATGAAGTCTCCTGGGGCTGGGGATTTAGCTCAGCAGGCATAAGGGCCTGCCTTGCAAGCGCATGGTCATGAGTTTGATCCCTGGTACCGATTTAAAAATAAAAAATAAAAAATAAAAAAAAATGAAGTCTCCTAAAAAAACCCAAAGTCTCCTCTGCTAAGAAACTAGCACTTTCTGTCTTGTGCTGTGGATTCTGGGTTTTTTTCCTGGGCTTGATAGACAGGCTTGTGAAGATCTAAAATGCCTACAGACTAAATTTTGTGGCCATAGTTACCTCATTGGTAATGGGGCTGCAATCAAAAACGGCCTGCTGTAGAGGACAGACATGGTCAGGGAAGAAGTAAGCTTCAACACTCCCTGGTAAAAGCAGGTAAGCTGGGGGGAGGACAACTGAAGAACTCCAGCACCTTTATTATTCAAAAATAAAGTAGGCCATGACAGAAGAGGAAGAATTCTGTGAAAAGCACAGCATCTGTTCCCTATTTCCTGCCAGACTGGACACCATGGTAACAGCATCATCGTAATCTGCTGCGCTTCCAGAAGAATCTCAACTGTTTCTCCTCAGCAAACACCTGCACCTTTTCCAGGGACGCAAGAGAGAAATTCACTCATCATGCCCCATTAGCCTGGAGTGGCGGTGATTACGCAAATGTGGGTGATCCAGAACTTCCTGGATTGAACCATGGACTGGCAAAGGAAGAGATACCGGCTGCACCAGCGATTATATACACAGCACAACTTGGCCATTCGTTCTGAATGGAAGCCAGGGCTAGGTTTCCCAGACAAAATACAGAATGCCCAGTTAAATTTCAATTTCAAATAAACAACAAATTTTTCCAATTTAACTGGGCATCCTATATATTTATTCACACAATCTGGCCACCCTATACCCTGAGAGTACTTGCTGCACAAATCTACCTTCTCCCCCTCAGTTTAAATCAAAGGTAACCAAAGATCCAGCCTGAACCCTAAAGTGCCTAGCTCAATTTATGCCGCCCCTGAAGTAGCCATCCCAACGCTGGTGGGACACTGGAATCATCTGAAGAGCTTTAAATAATACTCCAAACCTGGCCATATTCCCAGAGATTCTGATTTTAGATTTCTGGGATGAGGCGCTGGCAACAGTGTTTTGCTTTTTGTTTTGTTTTGTTAAAATCCCACAGCTGATGTGAATGGAAAGCTAAAGCTAGGACTCACTGAACTGGACATTAATTCTCACACTCAGAGCTCATCAGAACCTCCTGCCAGTCCTTTACAGGAAGATTCTTGGTTCGGTCTCTGAAAGTTCTGATTCAGAGTGCTTCACAGGAGCCCCAAGATGTCACATTTTTAACCAGCACCCTAGAAGAGACCTTTAGTCACACTTTGAAAGAACTCAGTCTCATTCAGGCTGGCCCCTTCCCCTCTGGAGGAGGCCCCCACCAGGAGCTCACCAGAAAGGCAGCCTAAGACCTATAGAATCATTATCTACATCTTTAGAAAGCCTCACAGGTGATTTGCTTTCCATTAAAGTTTCACAGGCACTAGGCTAGACATTCAACCCTTTCTAAGGAACCTCAGCAGCATGACCTACATAACACGCCCTTTCTGATCTACCCTACTGCAGGGTCCTTGTGTCCGACTCAGAACTGAGATTATTCTCAGTCACAAAAAACTGCTTAGATGACATTTTTCTTCTTCATCAAATTAGAACTTACAAAACACCAACATCAAATTTTGTATAATGAGCATTTGGCATGCTTATAAAGGAAACGTGGTTAAAAATGACAAGAGTGGTACAGAGCTGCTAAGTACTTGCAATTATTTCAAGTGGCTGCGCAGAAAATAAGAGAAGGTATCATAAAGTGGGTATAATTAGGAACAATGGAATAAAATTAAGCACAGGAAAATTTACTCTTGGTGTTAGAACAAATTTTTTTCAGAGTAAGGTCAGTGATTGCTGTGGTTTTTCCATTCAAATAGCTGAACTTCTTTTTCCAGGTTGAGTAATTTTCAAACTAGACTAAAGGGAACACTTGGAAATAGGTTATCAAAAAATCCTTTACTGTCCAGACATTGATCTGGATGATTTAGTACAGCATTTTCATTACTGGAATTAAGTAATTTACTCTTTCCAAAATGCCTTCCAGTTGTTTTATTAACCAGGCTTTCAAACACCCCTTTGAGGTCAATAAGACCTTTATTTCCAGTTTTTTACATAAAGAATGAGACACAGAGGTAGAGGGACTAGCCCAAGGTCATTCTGCAGGTTAACAACTGGTTTCTCTGCAGCCCTAGTCCTGACAATCCCTAACGCCAGGCCCCTGTGCTAGATCTGACTCCGCTGAAACTGAGAGAAGATAACAAAAGTTGATTATTAAGACCATTTTGAATGTTTTTTCTGATGTTCAAGAGATTCACATGCTAAACAGTCTGTGAAACAGCCTGAAATCACACGCTATGCTGGCAAGTAAAACACACTGGTTCTTGTATGAATTCAGGTTTTTAAAAATAATGCAACTAAATTAGTTCTGCTTGATTATTTACTTGAATCACATACTCAAATTGGTTTGAACTGGTATATTATGCAAAATGATTAGTGACTGAAAATTTCTCTAGCGTTGAAGTTCTCATATTTCCCCATACACGAATGATTCCCAAACCTCAGTGTGGACGGGTTAATTCAAGTGTCTAGGTGAGGCTGATACTAAAGATCTGCGCTCCCACTTTGACAGCCACCCACGTAAAAGTGTGGTCACATTACCGGATTCCCTGCCTGAAACAGTGTGAACACCTATAACCCGCTACCTCATCACACAAAGGCTTCCTATAAGCAAGACTCTATACTTGGACTTCCCACTTTTATCTATTTTCAAGCAAGGGTCACTGAGGGAGGAAGAAACTGCTTGTAACAAATGGGTGCATTGCCCACCTCTCCCAGACTATTAAGTGCATTTCATTCTGATCACAAAGAAGTTCTAGCTAGGCCTCTCGTGTTAAATGAAAACTGATGTATAAAGGGGAGAGGGAAATAATGGGAAATACTCACAAAACTATCATAACTCTTTAAAGATGGTCATTTTTATTGGAGCGGAGGAGAGAATGGTGGTAGATAGATTCAGAGTAGACATGGGGACAGATACATCCTCCATCACAGATTTATTTTAAACCTTCTGCCTTTCCACTGAGACTGAAGTCAACCACATTACTCTGCCCCTAACTACCTCCAGTCAAGGAAAATGGCAGGAAACATTTTATTCTCTCCGTGAGCCCCATCATGCCCAGCCTTCTCTAGTGTCCCAAAGGTCCGATCAATTGCAGTTAATCATTTTTCTAAGGGTCACCATCTAGAAGTATATTTCAGTCTGTCTAATTCCACAAAAATAATCTTCAGGGTGCAGAATCCTCTCCTCTATCCAAGCCTTTTAAAAATAAATGTGGAAACGCCATCTTTCTGACCTGCTTCTAGCCAACACATGTGTACAGGGAAGCTTTATCATCACAAAGTCTGCTCTTGGTTATGAAGGGCACATAATAAATTTCTCTATATAATGCATTACAGCTCACTGCCTGGCCCATGGGCAGAGCTGGGAAAGCCCATGGAGATGGATTCTGCTAGATACTTACTGGGTGGTCAGCATCAAGCTCAGTACCGTACATGAGGACTCTGTGAGAGCATTTGTCCAACTCAGAGATCTTCCGGGGGAACCAAGGCACATCCTCAAGCTCTATTAACGACAGTGCAAAGCGCAAAACATATTAGCTCACAGATTGTGTTTTCCCCTTCACACGTTTGTCAAACTACAAAAATCACTCAACAAGCAACACCCGCTCTTGCCTTCTTCCTCTGTCCAAATGTTCTCCGGTGGATTCAGTGTCACGATGGTGGTTTGAAATTTCAGCAACTGAATGAGTTCGTTAAATTCTGCTTTACCGCACTCACAGTCCACGAAGATTTCAACCTCAGAACTTCTTCGCCGGGATCTCCTGGATTCAATATGAACCATGTTGACATGTTTTTCCTGTGGAAACATTAAGTAACATCTCTAACTCACACTCAGATCATAATAAAAGAAATGCTTTTTTGTTTGTTTGATTGGTTGATTCATAATCAACAGTGTCAAGTACCCACAAAAGAGAAAAACGAGAATCTTCTTGCTCTTTGATTGACTAATAAGTAAAAATGTTTCCAAATACTGACTCTATAAGAAAGTTGTATTATTCTGCCTCGGTGCAGTTTGTCTTGTCTCATAAAAAAATAACCTATAACTATCTACCACCATACATTACCATCTGATCTCAAGATTCCTATTTTGTAGGTTTCTAAAAACAACTGAAGCGCAAACTCCCAATTTTATAACGATGGAAAGTTCTTTTTGAAATAAAGTTTTAAATGAAGTAACCTTTTTAAAAATGAGTGACTATAAGACATGGCAGGTGGAAGTTGGGGAGGCAACAGGAAAATTTCTGAGTATTTGAGAAATACCAGCCAAAGCAGAACCCAGATCACCAGAAAAGTCAGCAAAGCGAGAAAAGCAGTCGAGAGAAACTCTCTAAAGGCAAAAGTAAATCAAACAAGTAATTTACTTATGGCACAACGAGAAGGCAAAACAAAAGGTCAAAAATAATAATGTCCTCTAAGTCTGACCATTTAGTAATTATTCTCTTTCGGCAACCTCCAGGCTAGCTTTGTCCAAGAAAGCATTACTACAACTATCATCCTATGATGAATTTCAGGAGTTAAAAATCTCCTTGCAATAAGCTACTCAAGGGATAAAAGTAATTTAATGCCTAAAAATCAAGTTTAGATTTCCCCAGTGACATAGCTGTCTTTCTCTTAAGTTAATTGAAGACCAAGTTCTCTCCACCCCTAAGCAGACATCTCTCCGACACCCCAGATGGTACGCTCCAGTTATTAGCCCAAGTCCTGATAGGATCCTGGATGACCTCAGAATGCTCAGCACAGGAGCAGGATAAGTACTTTTCGGTGCCTGAATATGATCAAAACAAACAACATACTCCCTAAAGAAACAAGCCTTGTGACCAGGAAGCTAGGTGTTCTGTTTTTATTAACCTTACTAATAGTACTATATTTTCTAAATTGATTGATAATAAAGGAATAATATTAAGCTAAAGAGTCAAATAATTTCATATACATTGTGTCACTTTGGACTTTCAATGACCACTGGTTGAAGAGATTTAGCTTACACTAGCTGAGGACAGAGTGAAAACTTGGAGCTGTTAACTTCTCTGGGGATTTCCCCACTGCACCCAGCTGTCTAATTGAATCGGCTTGCCTTTAGGCTTGTGCAGACACAGCTCTAGATGACACAATTACGTGTAAAATACTATCCCAGATTTCCATTACCGCTGTTTATGGTGCCTGATCTTTTCGTCAAGGTCAAAAGGGAATACTTGCCAAATCAGACTAATTTCCCTTCTATGATCATCGTAGAGGCATCATAAACTATCTCATTTCTGCATACTTTGCAAAGCACCTTTGTTCATATTATTTCATCCCTCAGCACGGTTAGGTAAGAATCATTATTGCTGCTTACAAATGAAGAAATTAAACTTTGGGAGCTTCTAGTGACTGACCAAAACAGAATACAAATTTGAATCCCTGGATAGGAATTCTAACGGTCTTTGGCCACAGCATAGGTGCCCCAGTGCCAGGCAGAGGTGGGCTCCATATCTTACTGCTCAAATCAGCAGCCACTGTCCCCAAACAAAATACCTTCAATAAGGGACAGTGTATCTTTAAGAAGGAAAGGAGCCATCAGTGTACACCTTTCTAGGCTCATCCTCTTCTGGGCTCTTTTTTGAGGGCTCAAACCACAGATTTGAGACTGAGAAAATGCTAACTACATTTCTATGAGCTACAGGGAGAGCTAGCCTTACAATTCATATGGAAGTACGTACCTCATTTACAAAAGATGCATCAAGATCATGAAACAATTAGGCTTAGCAGAATATCATGTGCCTAGTTTTGTGCATCCTACTTTATGTGATAAATATGCTCTTATTTATTACATGTGTAAAACTCCCATTTTAACAAATCAAATAAAACTTCAGCTTCTTGATATTTAAAGACACCCTCTGTGTCTTCTTTTGGGTTTGCATTTTCAGCTGTAGGGCTCACATTTGAATTATGAACTTTCTCACTTGGCGACAGTCTATGGAGTTCCTAACAGACTAATTCTTTTTAATAAATCATAGTTCATGCAAATATGCTTATTTCATTGTTTGGCAGACAAACTCATTTTGTAAAGCCTCATGACGTTTGGCGCCTTTGATTTCACCACATTGTCCAGAAAATGGTTCAATAATGTTTTGTAACAGATGACAAGTTTATAATGAGGTGCAGTCATTTTAAAGTTACGTGATGATAGTTCACATTCACCTGAAAGAGCCTCAGGGCTTTTACCAGCCCCCCAACTTCATTTTTCAAGGAAAATATCACTGCAGTCTTGCCACGCTCCACGGAGGTTTCGCTTTTGCTGCTCCCTTGGTTGCCTTTCTTGTCATCATTTTTGCTTGAGCTAGCTTTATTTAGCTTCAAGAAATCAAAAACACAAAACATTACTAGTTAGTATTCCAGAATTTTCCACACTTAAATTTTTCTCCATGTATTTAACTCATAACCTGGAAGCCCCATCAATCACAAAAATTCAAAGTGAATTTGTCATGAAACTCATAACTGTCTGTTCTCAATGTTGATCTAATCTATTCCAGGACCCTATTTTCAGTCCTCTCACATATAATCTAATGGCTGAAATTAAAAGGAAATCATATTTACTTCACTTTAATAGCAACAAAATTCTAACCACCATTAAGTATAAAGGAACATATATAAATATTTCTGCCCTTTTTTCCCCTGGGCTTATGATACAGCATTTAATTTGATCTTTTGTCTAAATGAATCATTTATATGTAAAGTAGATTTATTACTAAATATAACAAAAATAAAATCAAACATTTTTAACAACAGTAAATTTAGATTTGGTTAAATCTTAAATTGAAACATTTAATTTTTGAGTATGTAAAGACATGAGCTAAAATGGATATCTTGCATTCTGCAGTTACAGCTACCTTGTCAATATGAAGGTCAGTGTGAATCTACTTGCACATGGAAGATCTCTGGCACAGAGGCAACTGTGTCAGGCGAGAGTATACGAAAAATGATTATTAAACTCAGCCACAAATAAAAGGGGAAAAAAAGAAAGAAAAAAGGAATAAAAAAAATTAGTTCGTAATCATCTGCAGTAAACAACAGAATCAGAGTGATAACCATTAGTCCTCCTGGCTAAAGATAAAAATGACAGATTCTGGAAACTCAGATCACATTGCGAGAAATGTAAAATTAAAAATGAGAAAATTTTTATTGACACACAATGCAGAACTATGGTAGTGTATTTTATATTGTTTATATGCAAATATAGAGTTGAACAAGCAGAACTATCCCTCTGGAAAATGATCATATAATGCAATTACATCAATCTTTTATGTCCTCATAAACAGAAAAACATATTTTTGATGTGGAACCTGGTGAATGGTGGTTTCTATTGTCTTCATCTGATTTCTCTGTTGACTTTACTTTTACACATTAGTATTGCCTTGTTCACCAGATTTGGTATTTTATTATTTATGACTTGAGGGGAGAGAGCAGCATTGACATTTGACAGTACATTTAGTCATTAAAAGCTCAAATGTCTTAGTACTCTCAACATCTGCCTGCTCTTCACCACACAACACACAAATCTCATATATTTAAGTGCCATTTTTATATGAAAGGAAAGTAGATTAACCATAATTCTGAGTTTTGTTTTCCTCCTAGCATTTCATTATGACTTCCAAATTCCTCAATATAGTATCTTATCAAAAGAGCCACATTTAAATATTAAAAAATCTATTCATATTTTTGTCCTGGTTTTTGCAAATTGATTTAAATACTTTTACACAAGTTTCCATTATTACTTTTCAACATTTTTATTAATAATAATATGTCAGTGCAATGCAACCCTCTGCCACATATTTGGAGCTACAAACAGACTTTTCTATGACAAACTAAGTTGGAATTGGTTGATAAACTCTGGTAGTTCAGCAGTGAAATATTATTTAACATTTTTAGTGATCAGGATCCTGAATACATTTGTATTTCATTGCCATGAAATGAAAGTATTACTTCTTATTAAATCTCATGAATATTACCTGAAATCAGGGCAAATTGTACAAATTTTGCTTTTTCCTCTTAATATTTTAAATTCAAAAGCTTCCTTACATATAAAAATAAGTAAAATACTGTTTTTGTTACTCCATCAGTTAAACTTTTAAATGGAATAACAAGGCATGCTGAAAAACTTTTGAAAGGAGCTTGATCCTTCTTAATCCAAAATCTGTAATCACGAATGCAAAATGTTAGTTCTGTGTTTACAGACTGGTCACTATAGACTTGAACAGAGTGAAGAAGATATTATGATCTTGTGGAAACCACAGGAACTGATTTAATTCTTTCTTCTTATACTTCTTCGTAATAAATGGCCTTTCAAAGTTCCCATGCACTCAGGATTTTTAGGACATTGATTCACATAAACTCTGATTCTTAATGTTCAAAAACTTCACTTCCTATTTTGTGGACATAAAATTGAGCACGCAATGATCAGTTCACCTGCTTTACTTTTACTAAAGAAGAAGGTGGACAGAACTGAAGCAAGGAGACAAGACAAAAAAGGGTGCGTTGAGGTATGTGTTCTTATACACACCAGGTGTCCATCCGGTGAGGCCCAGACGATCGCTACCCTAGCAAACACTCTAGAGACTTCCAGCTGCTCAGTACTCACTGTTAAGCTGCCAAGCAGCTGATGCTCTTCAGGCACCGCTGAATCCAGAGAAAATCCTCTCCTTGCCCAGTATTTACTAGAAAACATCATCATCGCCGGTTGCATGGATCCGGATGTAATTTTCTTTCTCGGCAGCAGGGGGTACTAGAGGGGCAATAGCGGCGCTGGTGGAGGAGAGAGGAAGGGGTGCTCTTCTGCAGTGCTCAGGGTGCTGTCCAGAACCCCAATGCTCAAGAGCAATGCAAATCATCCTTTCCCAGACTCCTTTATATGAGTGACTGGGGCCTGATGGAAAGCTGATTAGAAAGAAACTCATTTCTGGTTGCTGATGGCCGCAGTCAGATTACAGATCCGAAGCCTGGGGTTATCTGTGCTCAAGACACGATTTGTTTGTTTCATAGGGCGAGTAGCCATTTGGGCGGAGGTGGTAGAGGAAAACACATAGAGAAATGTTATTTGTGTAAGAAAATATCTGTCTCCTGATGTCAGCTCTCATTTCTCAAGCCTGCTACTGCCAAGGTAGCCTTAGTCTTTAAGCATCTATGAATTCAAGGGTTCTGTGCTTTTTTCTAAAAGTAGGAAAATATGAAAGACAGGCACAGCTGAATCCTTAAGCTATTTTATGATAATAAGCTTTCTTCTGATCAGGCGTGCTATAGCTGTGTGTGAACACATTGTGTATGTGCAAGTCTGCATGATGGCTTTCATAAAAAGTGCTTTTTAATCTTATGTCTGTAGGCACAGTGATGTTCAGGCAATTGTACTGCAAAGGAAATATAAAGCTTTGATTTAACCACATATAGATATAGCTCAAACGCTAACTCTAGACTCTTGCTAAATGAGAATAAAAAGAAACTACAAGGCCATATGTTAGTCATTCCTTTGATGCTCTTGATGGCCACTGGATTTTTCGTCTTCACTTGTAACTTGATCAAATCTATCAATCATCATGTATAAGTCAATTGATATTCTTTCTAGTTAGACTTTATAAAGTCATAAAATTCACCATTCTACAGGAAAGTATTGCCAGTCTTCCGAAGACTGGAAAACTCTTAATTATGCTTGCCTAAAAGTCTGGGGCTAGCAGTTTGCCTCTATATAAAACAAGATTTTAAAAATGTAAACAGGACTGGGAAACTAATATTGACTGAATTTGAATCATGTCTGGAGTTGAGGTATATAATTATATTTGATTTAGTTCTGGAAATAATCATTTTATTTATATTTCCCTTATAGATCAATGCATAGGTAATATTACTAAACGTTTAGTACTTACTAATATCAATTCTTAGCACTTCCTATAGACTTTTGTGGGTCAAAAGTATGATTAATAATCACAATACTTGTGAGGTAGTCTCTATTTCTTTTGTATTACATATGGATAAATGGGGCATTGAGAGTTTAGGTCACTTATCAAAGCTGCACATAATTGAAGAATGATCTCAGGATAACTTAAATTCATGGTATCTGTTTCCAAAACCCATGCTCTATACCCTCCTGAGTATTCCAAACAATGAGTAAGAAGTAAACAATGCAAAAAGTAACGAGATATGGTGCCAAGCCCTAAGGAAACAACCGTCCAGACTGAAAAAAACACACATGCAAGTAAGTAAGTGAAACAAAACTGACTTCTTTACAGAAGATATGAAAACACAAAGGATGGAGCGTTCAATACTACTTTAGGAGAGTCAAAAGAGGTTTCTGGGAGAGTTGTTGGACTGAATCTTCAGTGGTGAATTTGTACTTGTTAGCCATAAGAAAATGGAAGTACTAAAGAGATGGTTCCAGGCACAGGGAAATAAGAAAATGTGTAGAACTGTCATTGCTAACAGCGACAGAGTATAGGTATGGGGCGAGGTACTGACGAGATAAAGCGAACAGGAAAGCGGGTCCCCGACTGTGACAAACCTCCAGTGACACTGTGAGGGCTTTGCGTTTTCATCTCTTCCTGTGAGTGAGTGTCAGCAATGAGAAGAGCTTTACTCAAGGCAGTTATACAAACGTGTTGATGTTTTAGAAAGCAGCAACGTGGAAGAAGACTTCAAGACTGACGACAGAAACAACCTAAGATCTGAAATATTCTTGCCAGAAGATGATAACGTGATTAAAGTAATAGCTCAAAGGATGCAATGAAAAGAGCTAGAAGGGGCTGGGTAAAACCCACAGAACAGTGCCTCTATTTTAATGTGGAAGCAGAAAATATGTAAGTCACTTACTGAAGTTGCTAAGGTTTATATTCTTTGGCTTCTTCTGAAATTCGATTGAGAGCAACATACAGGATCTCCTTTGTTTTTCAAGGCACACAAGAATAGCATACATTGGAAAACAAAGGCAATGAAAAATTAGAAGTTTAAAAGGAGATGAAAGAGTGATCAGGAAGACTGAGAAATAATTCAATTTACATTAAAGAATCCCCTACATGTTCAAATTGCTCTGGAATTGGGGTACATCCAGTACATGGAACAAGAGTCTTCAAAATCTGTGATGCAGTTATGCAATTTCAAAACTTACAACAAATTTCCAGTAATCAATACAGTGCAGTGATGAGTAAAGACATAGATAAATGGAATAGAATTGGTAGTTCAGAAATAAACCCTTATATTGATGATCAGTAAATTATCAATGGAGGCACCAAAGAGTTAAAAGACTCTTTTTAAGAAATTATTCAGGGACATCTTTGGATATATATGCAAAACAATGAAGTTGGACTTTTATCATATGTCACATACAAAACCTAATTCAAAATGAATGAGACACAATCGTAAGATCTAAAACAGTAAAACTCTTAGAAGAAAACAAATCTTTGTGACCTTGGATTAAGCAATTATTTTGCTTCCCCCACCCTACCTTATTTTATTATTTTGTGACAGGCTCTTGCTAAATTATTTAGTTGCCAGGGGAGCATTCAAACTCACCCAGCAACCTGAGCCTCTCAGAATGCTTGGCACCACATTTGCCACAGCTGGTTCCACCCACCCAAAGAGACAAAGTTTCATCTTTTCCTCCCCTAGATAGCTAAGCCAACTCCTCTTTTGTCCCCTAGATAGATAAATGGAGGTTACTCGCTGGAAAGGGTAAAACGAAGGTCTTCTGCACTTAAAAACGTCAGGCAAGTTGAGAACATGGGTACCATCCTGAAGAGATTGATTAAATAAATGCATACACTGCATGTTGAGATTCCCAAACCTCAGCTGGCTGACAGCCAGGCATTTACCTTCAAGCCAGATTAAGGAATAAATCTTCCTTGGAGAATCTGACCGTACCAAGAAGAAAGACCCAGAAACACACTGAGAGCTAAAGATAACACCGAGAATTTTAAACCAAATATTGTAATCAGATTACCTTGTAGAGAAGCACACAGTTGATAAGATTCCTCTTAAATATTTAGTAAAGAATATAAAGTGGGATTAATTACAATTACATAGAAAAGCAGCAAATGAAAAATTCTGATAAAAAGTCCTGTAGGACAATGAAAAGTTAAGGTCAAAGAGGAACATGTTTGACTTGAGAACTATATTTATGAAGTCATAATACTATAAGCACTAAACACTGACCTAATTAACACTATGTCAATTATATGGTAAAGGATAAAGCATACATGTGCATAGCAGGGTCTAAATGGAAGACAAAGCCCCATCTTCAATGTGGAAAGTGAATGGTTAATGCTTAAAAGCAAAAATCAAAGTAGAAGCAGCACACACATGGCAAAGCTCTGAGGGCACAGAGTAAATGCCAAACTAATCAGCTGAAAGTTGTAAGTCCTGCTACTGCAGGGAGGAGTTAGGAGATGGGCAAAAGGGGCAGTTTCTCATAACAATAAAGGTAGACTGTGTGCATGTGACATTTACTATATACACTTTATATATATTTATTTATATATATACACTAAAAATATATTTACTGCATAAATAGGTATTGGTTTTTAATAAAGCTAAGCTTAAATTTTAGCTCTGCTACTTGCCTCTGTGTTTGAGTAGAACATATTACTTCACATTTCTCAAGTTCCATTTCTGTACTGTAAGGAAGAACATACACCTTATGACTGCTATGTGATTAAATTCAGTGTGTTCAAAGTGCTTAACACAGTTGTTGGCAGATACTGGATGCTCAAAATGTTAAAGTCCATGCCTTGTTGAATGTGAAACCGGAGTGCACTGGTTTGGAATCCTTGGCAGAAAGTGAAGAGATATGGATATATAGGTTCTAATGAAGTGATTATCCACATAACCCATGATGAGCAAAAAGCCAGGTCATAAGGTCAGCTGACAGAATTAGTTTGGATTAAGCAGTTAGAGGCCAGGATGTGAGAAATGAAGGGAGAAAGCACAAAGGATACTGTCAGATAAGGAGGACCTCAGTGTAAGATTCTATAGGTAGAGAAGAACGATATGATCAAGAATGGCCACAAGGCTAAGATATGACAGAGGTCCATAAACAGGCAAGCTTGATATTAAACAGATACTTGTTGTGACTGAGAATAGTAATGAAAGAGAGAAATATGAGCCAACCCTTAAATCACTTGGAAAACGGAAGTGAATCCTGAGAGGTACTAGATTGCATGTACAAAAAAGTGGAAAATATGTTGCTAATAAACAGAGAACTAAGGAGATGTTAAAGCATCCATGGTCTACACAGAACAACCCAACGTTTCCTCCCTGCCAGTTTCCATTCCACGGGTAAAACATGAGATTCTGAGAGCTTATTCCTCCCTTCCTTCCTCACTACTAACCTTCCTGAGGTCAAACAAAAATTCAAAGTCCTCAAGACAAACCTCAGCTTAAAAGGGGCAAAGAACAGTGTCAGGAGGAAAAAGATAAATGGATGTAAGTTTGAACGGAGAATTTGCCAGGCAACTTCAGTGTGAACTGAGAAAGCAGGTATCAAAGTACTGAGGGATAGATGTGGGATGAGAGAATGTGGGAATATTTGAAAGCGAGGCGTTGGTGACTAGCAGGTACTTTTGAGACTGACATTGAATTAGAAGTCTGATTCTTTTTCCTTAAATAACTTACCCTTTTGGTTTTAAGTCACCATTCCAATCTGAGAGGTCATGGTTACAAAACTAAGAAGCAGTGGAGCCATGTCAACTCCAAAACTTGTGCTATTGTCTGAACAGTTTAATCTTTCTTTCACATTGAAAAGTACTATGGACATGTTTGAGTATGAATAAAAAGTTTGACCAAAATTTTTGTACATGTGTGACATATGACTACCAGGGTTCATAGAAGCTTTATGTCTTTTTCAAGAATATAAACTAATTTTAAAAAACATACAA